CTTCACAATCTCCTGACCTCAACATAATTGAAAATCTATGGATAGACCGCTTAAAAGAGCAGTGCGTGACAGACAGGCCAGAAATCTCAAAGAACTGGAAGACTTTTGTAAGGAAGAATGGGCAAAGATAAACTCAAACAAGAATTGAAAGACTCTTGGCTGGCTACAAAAAAGCGTTTACAGGCTGTGATACTTGCCAAAGGGGCAGTACAAGATATTAACTCTGCAGGGTGCCCAAACTTTTGCAGACGCCATTTTTTTGTTTTTTGTTATTTTGAAAGTGTAATGATAGAAATAAAATCTAACTTTTGTTGACATATTATAAGAATGTCTAATCTGCAATTTGATGCCTTTTGGAGATTTTTCCATCTTTCCCCTTCTTTATGCACATTAATACAAATTTTTAGCTGGGGTGCCCAAACTTTCGATCCCCACTGTATACACTCAGGGGGCAATCCCCCCTCCTTGCATAATGACACAGGGCGGGGCAATCTACATTTAGTAACAAGAGACACACAGGTATTCAAACTTCACACCAGCAGACAGTGCCATCAGGAGGGAGGGCTGCTGGAGACACTCCCCCCCCCCCCCCCCCCCCCCCCCCACTAAGCTAATACACATAAACACATACATCCCATAATAGTTTGCTCCCAAGCAAAACACAATAGAACAATTGGATGCAACCACGACATTAAACAACAATCCCCCACCCCAATATTAGGGCAGATCACCCTGTACCCCTAACAGGCACAGGGTGATTTACACATAAGAGGGATATGGGGAGCTGAGACAGGGGTCTCCCCACCTCTCCAAAGTGAGCTGGGTTCCATGGGCCCCCCACCCAAACTGACTCCCGTCACAAGTGTCAGTGCTTTTTATTAGCACTGATCTCTGTATTGGTGTCAGTGACACCAAGTCAGTTCCCCCCAGTGTCAGAATGCCCGCCGCAGTCCCCACTATAAGTAGCTGATCGCCGCCATTAGTCAAAAATATTGTTTTTTTTTTTTTCTCAAAATTGTCGGTCTTTTTTATTTTTATAGCACAAAAAATTAAAACCGCAAAGGCGATCAAATACCACCGAAAGAAAGCTCAATTCATGGGGAAAAAAGGATGTACATACATACATTTGGGTGCAGCATTGCATGACCGCGCAGTTGTCAGTTAAAGTAACGCAGCGCTGTAATGCAAAAAATGGTCAGTAAAGGGGGTATATCCTCTGGAGGGCAAATTTTAAACTGCACCATAAAACACATAGTAATCATTTTATTGGTTGCTATGAGCAACCAGTTCTTTTTTATTAATAAAGTCTTCAATATACAGACAGCAAGTTGCTTGAGCAGCACTCAAAAGACTAGTGCTGATGGCAATAGCATAGACTACTACGGTGGGTTTCTGCATCCCCATCTGCCCTCTGGATGTGAAATATCCTGTGCAAGGGCCATGTTTGCCCTCACAGGGGTGCAAAGGTGTTCATGCATCCTTGTGCAGGCAGTCCTACTCATCACTTGGGACGCAGCAGCTGCACAGACACAGCTATTGCTCTCAATTTGACAACCGTGGGGGGTGCAGGTACACAACCCTGAATGCAGACAGTTTGCTCTTGGGGCCGTGCACACACAGCTGTCAGATTGGAAGCAGCGGCTGCGTCCCAATTGACATGAGTAGGATTGTCTGGACAGTGTCGCATGGATCACACAACCCTTGTATGGGCGTATGCTGTAAAACACCTGTGTGACTGAGGCCTTAGATGTAGCCAAGCGGGACCAATGTAAGTTTAAAAAAAGAATAGTTCAGCTTAAATATAATTACTTGCTGCCCAGGGCAGTTTTGAAATGTTTCACATATACTGTAAATGTAAAAAGCTGCATTTGTGTGCTAGAAAATTACTTAGACCCCCAAACATTATATATTTTCTGAAATCAGAGGCCCTGGAGACTAAAGTAGTAGTTTTTATGTCGTACGATATTTGCACAGCAGTGAAAAGCATATTTTCAGGGAAAAAAATACACTTAAATATATTTTAGTGCACACAATATAATACCCAATGTTTTGGTAAAATATATCTTTATATTATATATAATTTTGCAGTAAGTAGGTAGTAAATAGATACCAAACCTATGAAGATTTTAAAATTTGCAATCCTGGGAAATGGCAAAACATTTCGGTGCCCAAAAAACTACATAGACTATGGTTTAAAAGCCTTTACAGGTTAACAGTTTAAATGTGAGCTTTGGAGCTAGAATTATTGCTCTCACTCTGATATTCATGGCGAAACCTTACATAGTGCATGGGGAAAAAGGGGTGCTTTAAATGGAAAAAAAAAAAAGAAATATTTAAATTACGTTTTTTGCACTTTTTTTTTATTTAGCTTTATTGCTATCACAAGGAAGCAAACAACATCTCTTTTAACCCCCCTAACAGTCTGATTATGTCGATATTTCTGTGCTCAAAGCGGTACATTTTTTTGCATGGAAATATGTCATTTTTTTTATTGTAGGCCTGTAATTTTTAGGAATAACTCACTAGTCTAGTCTAGTAAACATCCTGGGTATGATAAAATTTGAAATACGAAATCATAAATTATAATATAATAAATCATAAAAAATAATAATATAATAATAAATTTAATTCAATAATATAATCAAACCAAAAACACTGAAATTTGAAATAGAGCGCCAAGTTCACACATCACTGAGCTTAGTCGCAAAATAGTTTTCAGTGTCCGATGACGAATTTCTACGAATCATTATCACTCAATTCTGCAAGTGGTTCTGATTTACTATCGCTGTTCTCTAGCTGGTCTAAAACTGCTTTTGAGCTAAAGGGATGCTTTTTGGACGCCATGGACATTTCTCAGTTTCAAGACAGAAAGAACAGTAAAAATGCAGGCAGGGCACAGGACAAATCAGTAGTGACAAAATTTATGTGAAATGCTTTGATGCAGTAATATTATACTATGTGTATTTATTGAATGTCACTTTTAAAAAATTTTTAAATTTCCCAGCACTCCGTCCCCCGTACGTCCTGACACTCGCAAGGATGGAACCAGGAAGACAGATGCCGGCATCGGCCGGAGGAGATGGCCGGGGATGCTGCAGGGGGGACATCACGGGAGCGAAGAGCAAGGTAAGTGCAAGAGGGATCCCAGAGCAGCTCGGGGTTACCGCTTTTGGTACTGAAACTTAACCCCGAGCTACACTCGGAAATACCGCCAGGGAGGTTAATAGCTTTGGCAGTGAAAAGTGCTCTTTGAGATTTCAGAGGTCTGTTAGACCCCCTGATATCTCCTCTGCATTTTAACCTCCCTGGTGATATTCCCGAGTGTAGCTCGGGGTAATGTTTCAGCACCACAAGTAGTAACCCCGAGTTACACTCGGGAATACCTTGTAGTGCTGCTCCGGGATCTCTTCTTCACTTTCTTGTCCTGCGCTCTCGCGATGTCCCTCCTGCAGTGTCCCCGGCAATGTCCTCCGGCGGATGCTGGCATCTGTTTTCTGAGTTCCGTTCCCTGTGACGCCAGGACGTACGGGGGACGGAACTGGCGGGAAATTTGAAAGTTGTAAAAGTGACATTCACTAAATTCACTGAAATCACATAGTAAAACATTACTGTATCAAAGCATTTCACATACATTTTGTCCTAGTGCTTTGTCCTGTGCCCTGCCTGCATTTTTACTGTTCTTTCTGCCTGGAAACTGAGAAATGTCCATGGCGTCCAAAAAGCGTCCCTTTAGGTCAAATGCGGTTTTAGACCAGCTATAGAACAGCGATAGTGAAGTAGAATCACTTGCAGAAATGAGTGATAATGATTCGTGGGGAAATTCGTATCAGACACTGAAAACGATTTTGCGACTTTGCTCAGTGATTTCGTGTATCAAATTTTAACATACCCGGAATGTTTACTAGACTTGTTCGGACAGATTTCAGTGAGCTATTCCTAAAAATTAAAGCCTACAATAAAAAAAATACATAGTTCCATGCAAAAAAAGTACCGCTTTGAGCACAGAAATATGGACATAATCAGATCGCTAGGGAGGCTACCACAGCCGATTAAACACAGAGCAGTTTGATCGGCTGCCCACTGGCTGCTAACGGGTCAGTAAACAAAGATCTGAAACTGGAAGTGACAAAATCCTCATCATTTTTTGGATATTTCACCGCTGTGCTCAGTCAACCCGTACTGCTTGCAGCACTTCCAGGGTCCTTGGTTGGACAGGATATACCAGGAACAGCGGCGGGAGGGGGGCCCTCTTCCAAGTCCTCTTAAAGTGAACAGGCAGCTGTGGAGTCACTCAGATCATTTTTACCTAAAAGCTGGTCGCTGGCTGTAAAAATTGATACCAGGATCATGGTTGCAGCTGCAGCAATATAACCACTTACTACTGAGGATGTAGAGGTATGTCGTAGTGGCTGGAAGTGGATAATATTCTCTGTTAACATGAAAACAACTGCTGAGCACTCCTGTGTTTATTCAAGGGGTCCGTAAACATGGGAAACATGTTTATGGGTGGGGTATACATTTTTGACCATTTCTGATCACAGCCATTCATTCAGTCAGGAGAGTCTAGGGGACACTTCTGTTATTATTTCATGATTATAGCAGAAGGGAATGTAAGGCTTACTGAGCTAGCCCTGCGTGAACGTAAGCCATATATCCTTGGCTGGGAAAGGGTTAATAAATTTTTTACTTGTTTAATGTTCTTTAATCTTTCTTGTCCTCACAAGTTGTGTTTCTTGGGACAGAACTTTCATTTGCAAGCAAAGTCAAATAAATAAATGTTATACTGTGCTGTATCAATTGAAGGCACACACAGAAAAGCACTTTCATGTACAATATTTGTAATGTAGAAACAAAACCTACAAGTCAGGGTAAAGCAACTTGTGTAGCATTCATCTTATGTAATTCATTCAAATGTATGAGAACTTTGCCTGTGTATGGCCTTCGTAAAAGTGCACCTCTATACGGTATTGCTTTCTTAATGTTCCTATTTCTTGTTACAGGGAACCCTTCAAGAAACTCTTGGTACAAGGCCTCATCAAAGGACAAACATTTACGCTTGCATCTTCAGGAAGATATTTGAAGAGAAATGAAGTGGATCTTAGTGGTAATTTGGCTAAAAATATTGAGTAAATGTTTTGCCTATCAACAGAAAATTAGACATAATCAACTTTTGTAAAGGTAGCAGATTGTCTTCATAAAGGTCATGGAGGTCATGAATTTATAAATCTGTTGTGGTTATAGATAGGGGGTATAATGCTCCCTGGGGTGAGCAACTCTTTCAGATACAGATACCAGTCCAGTGATATAGTGAGGACTAATGGTATGTTTATTTGTGCTGTTTACAAGGCTATATACAGGTGGTGTACAGTGCTCCAAGAATAAACAGTGCAAAACTTAAAAAAAAATAAATCCTAGCAGTGTCTCAGCACTAGCTACACATACAGCCGTGGCCCAAATTTTTGAGAATGACACAAATATTAATTTTCACAAAGTCTGCTGCTTCAGTGTTGTTAGATCTTTTTGTACGATGTTACTATGGCATACTGAAGTATAATTACAAGCATTTCATAAGTGTCAAAGGCTTTTATTGACAATTATATTAAGTTTATGCAAAGAGTCAATATTTGCAGTGTTGACCCTTCTTTTTCAAGACTTCTGCAATTCGCTCTGGCATGCTGTCAATCAACGTCTGGGCCACATGCTGACTGATAGCAGCCCATTCTTTCATAATCAATGCTTGGAGTTTGTGTTAATGGGATTAAGGTCTGGTTCTGGTCTCGGACCCAATATTTCAATGTTTTTGTTCCTCAAGCCATTAAGTTTTTGCTTTTGCCTTATGGTAAGGTGCTCCATCATGCTGGAAAAGGCATTGTTCATCACCAAACTGTTCTTGGATGGATAGATGGGAGAAGTTTCTCTTAATATTTGTGTCATTCTCAAAAATTTGGGCCAGCGTTTTAGAAGGAAGAAATAGTCCCGCAAGACTCACGCTATTGTAAATCCACTAATAGAAAAGTATATGGCAGTCTCAGGCTAGAGTCTAGGCTGAGACTGCCATATACTTTTCTATGAGCGGATTTGCAACAATGTGTGGCTTAAGGGTCTTCTGCTTCACTACATGCTGATGTTTGGAGCAAAGACAAGCACCGTTCCTGGCCAGTACTCCCAGCAGTCGACGATTGATTGGGATCGTCTAGGAGCCTGAGCAGCACCCACATTTGTACAAGAAAACCTCACTATCAGGCTGTCTAAACCTCCACTAACACAGTATTGCAGTTTTCACTTACTGTTTAGCTCCAACAGTGCATGAAATAGTGGCAAACACAGACTGCTGTCCATCCCTGAAAGAGAAGCCACATTGCATAGGGCCATCAGTCATTGGACAGTTTGCTGCCACCTGTCCGAGGTCCTGGCAATGAAAACAATTTAACATTTCCCCCAGTTAGGTCTTCTGGAAGACACGGACTTCCTTGGTTTGGGATGCCAATCTCCAGAGCTGACACCAACCTTTTTCTCCCCTATCTTTTTATCATGCTTACCACCAACTTCCCCTGGAGCAGTCTTACTGGTTGCCAGGGAAAACCATGGCTCTGGGGGGAAAGTCCATGGGGTTGTTGCCACTCAACTTTGAAGGACCAGCTGCTGGCCCACTGTACTCTTACCGCCAAGGTAACACCTGGTTCTGCTAATATTTTCTATTTGACTTTGCCATAATCCAAAGCATCTATCTACTCCAAATCATAGTAAGCCTTCTACAATTGACCGGTTAGTAAGGGGGTGACAGGACCTGCCCAATGTGTTTTAGGCCTGCCTTCCCTTTTGGCAGTTCTTTCAAATATAACCAAAAAGGCCTCCTGAGTTATCATCAGCAGTCAACCCTGACAGAAAGTGCCCAGTATGAATGGCTTAGAAGCTTTCAAGAACACCTGTGGCTTTTGCAAGGGACCTCCATGCAAATGCCTGCACCACCTGTCAACCCTTTCTGTCTTCTGTTTCCTCTTGGTAAGATCTTCTGCATTTGTTCTTGTACAGCATTAATCGGTTTGTTTATTACCTGCATTTCTTCCTGCAGTGTGGTGTTTGCTGTTCTGCAGTGTTGGACAACACCAGTTGTTTTATGATCTCCTTCATTTTCAGTCAATTCAGGTAGTGGCCCTTTAAATAGCAGTTTTTTGCTAACACTGCCTGCAGTCCTCCGTGCTATTTACAAGGCTATATGCAGGTGCTGTACAGTGCTTTAATAATAAACAGTTCAAATCTTAAAACAAATTAAATCCTAGCCTTGTTCCAGCTTTAACTACACACAAGGCAATCCTCACTACCAGGCTGTCCAAGCCTGTCGCTTGTCAACCACCACAAACATTGTTTTGCAGTTAGCTTTAACTGGCATGACCTGTGGGAAGCCTTAGATGTGATTGTTTTTGATATGATGAATTTTTGCAAGCACACTATCTGTTAAACCGCAAATACAGTGACCCTTCTCTTTTACTGTATCTATGCTACGCTTCTGTCTATTTTTCATAATGATACCATAGAAGGACTTGTAATGTTTGGTAAAAAGAGAATGAAAGAGTGATTTTCTGGCAGTTTACCACAAAAGTCATCAATGTTTCTGGGTGCTGTCTATTACTGGCACCACAAAGCCTGTCACTATTTAAGATATTTAAGTTCAAATATTTGAGGGTTTTTTTTTCTTAGGAGTCACATCTGCTTTCAGTGTGTAACCCTTTTTATACTTCTGGAATGTATTTGGTTGTTGTGGGCTTTGCAGATACTTTTGATACATAACTTCTAGTCATATCCTTTAACAACTCTTTACTGATTGGTCTTGATCCTGCACCAATATGCTGCATAGATACAAGTTAGTATCCTAAAGAAAAATGTGTAGATAGAGATATTAAATATATCTTTATTAACTTGTTCTGAGGCTTTCATCCGTATCACCATTCACTACTTAGTGATTTACTGATCTGGAATGAATATGTGCTTATTGGGTATAAAAGCACTTGATCTGTACAAACATAAAAATGACTGCTCTGCAAAATTGACCATCAAAGTCAGCATTGACAGCTCACTTTCCTGCCCCCTCAGGTTACCTTTGATATTAATCCATTTGGCTTCTCTCCACACAAGACATAAAAAATGACACTTTTGCAGGCGTTTGAATTGTTTTTTCAGCCTCTTAACACACCTCATAGGCACACATAGGCATTTACACACCCATATTAGAAGAGGAACATTTAGAGGCTGAAAAAAGAAAACCAACCCCTTGTGCATTCAGATGAGGAGTGTTTGGGCAGAAAGACTGCTGAGCGTGTCTACTCGTTAAGCGCGATTAGTGCTTGAGAGTTCATCCATTTCAATGACTAGAATAAATTAATATTCTGGCCAGTGGAATGAATAAATGCCCAAATGCCTGATGTGTCTTGATGCTTTTTCTTCCCCTGGAGCAAAGGCGTCCTACAGAGGAAAAAAAAAAATGCCTTGTGTGAGGCCTTGGTGATGTTTTACACTGGAACGTGGTGTGGGGAAACCCACATTCTGTGTGCAGTTCCCACATCGCTTTAAAAAAGTGCTGTGTCTTTGGTCTTCAGTGGGTATCAGGGTAAAATTAACAACACCCCAAACACAGATAGCAAACACAGTGCATTTGCCTGTACCAGATTGCATGGTACCAAAGTACAATGTAATCCGGTTACTTTTGGTGCAATGCAGTGCGATTTCAGACTATTCAAATGAATAGGCTTATAAACTCACTGCACTCGAATCGCACAGGGACACGAACACGTTCTGTGAAATCCCTGTTGTGAACCAGCCCTTAAAGTTGACATGAATGTGAATGTTCGCTCTGTATAAAATTAATATGATTACAGCTAGGATGACAGAGATAAACACAGTATCTGGTGGAACAGTGCCCCTATTAGCCATAAAATGTGAAACCATTAAAGTACTCTGGTCTAATGGAAATACAGGAAATTGTATTAGAGAGGAAAGTTAATTAAATGAACTCTTATGCTTGTAGTGAGAATGCGGCTAATTTGCAATGTCGGACCTGACACTGTGAAAAATATTTAGTGCACTTATCATCCCCTCCAGAAAAAGGTGGTTTGTCTGTATGTCTGACTATCTATCTGTCATTTTGTGGTGTGATAATAAATAATCTCAGTGCATACACTAACTGAATGTTAGTCAAGCCTAACAAAAAGTGGTTAGGCTTAATTACTTAATTACCTAATTTTGATAGAAATGAGCTAGAAATGACCAGACATGCACATTCACGTTTTTTATTAAAAAAAGTTTAATGATTCCATTCCTAAATTAACTTCATACACCAATTGATATTCTTTGGAATTTATTAAAAAAAAACAAACCTTCATCGCATGATGGATATAAATAATAAAGATCCAAAACTTACCAAACAAAAATCCAGTGCAAAGGTGGTGGCAACAAGTGCAAAAACTAATGTGAGGGTGATACTTGTGCATATCAAAGCTGTTGTAAACAGACTAAAAAAACAATTGTTTAAAAAAAAAAATGATAGTCTCACTTTGGGACAGAGTATCATTCTGATTGAAATCATATCTTGTGGCAGAATAGAAGACGCTTCACTGAGCTTTACTGGCCCTTATTCGAAAATATTCAGCTATGACCTACTGAGGAGGAATGGCTAATAACTGGTAAAAAATGTTTAATCTTCTGCATGTGCCCAGCTGTTTTGGAAGTTGGACCCCACAAACAGCATCTTTTAATGGAAAGAGTAGTTTTATTGTAACTGCATTTGGGTTATGTGTCGCTTATATGCAAACACTGCTTAGCAGATTGCTTCTTTCTATACGTCTTATTGCAGTAGTTTAAATATGTCTCCAAAACAACTTTCAAAATGTTAATAGTGGAATACTAGCTTGTATGACCAGTCTTTTTTTTTTTAAAGGTAATTGTTTTAGTAAACTAACTGAAACCATCCATATGGATGACGACTGTGTTTTACTCGTAGAATTTTCTTCGTCTTTATAGTAGAGGCACATATTATGTGTGGGGATGAGTTTGCAGACCCTGATGCCAAGAGTGATGAGTTGAGGTTAGCCAGATTGATTGCTGACAGTTGAGCATGTCCCATGAACTGGCATGCTTTGTGCTCTGTAGTGTGGCAATGTAATGTGGCCTAAATCTTCTGTCCCTGGGAAAATGATTCACAAGTCCATGTGGCACAGCTAAGACTGTCGTGTTCTGCAAATTTTCCAGAGACTATGTTGGAAATTATGCTTCTGTGCAGCTAGTCTTCAGCCATAGCTTGTTTCACGGCATCCATCTACATGAATTTTAAAACACTGGTGCCTTTATAATGACCCCTGCACAAACAGTATGCTCAGAACCACTGCAAATTGTGCTCACTCCAGTAAAATCCCTAGATTACAGCCTAGTACAAGTCACTTGTTGATGACTGGAACTTCCACAAAGAATAACAGCAGTCCTTCACAGCATGCAGTGAAGATGCAGATGGGGACTACCATTGTGGTGGCTCCGGGCAGAAGGTGCAGTCTAAAACCTAGAAGGGAGGGTTTGTTACGATGCCAGAGGCAGGGAATTTGTGTGATGCATGTTACTTATTTACCTATCCTTCAAAGCCTGCCAGCAGCAAGTGAAGTGGAGGTGTCTTATTAGCAAAATTAGAGGGCACACACATAGGTCATCCACATCTGCTGGTAAACAGAGGCTTCAGCTACAGTCCCTGCATCTTGGCCACATCCCACTGATGAGTTTCACCCTGATTGGGCTTAGTCATAGTGGTTGATCTATGTGGTCTGCGCCCCCTGGATTTTTGTATTGTGTCTGTTCCCTGTTGTAACGTGCTATTTGAGGGGCCACTGAGGGGAAGTAAACCAATGGAAGGACAAACAGGAGATGCTTGAGCAGCGCTATTGTAAAGTGAAGGTGTCACCTGAATTATTAGTGCACCTAATTTCTGAGATAAAACCAGTTTTATTCTTTTGATACTTATATTTAGTTAGGCCTATTCAGTTGAATATCTTATGAATGTTGCCTTTATACTTTTGAAATGAGCCAACCGAATAGGATATTATGATATTATCAATGTATTATTGCTAATAATGTTAGATGCATTCATATGCAAATTGCAGTTATCAAAACTGAAATAGAATTAACAAGTCCAGCAAGACATTTAGTTTAGTGTAGGCTTAATAAAACACTTCATACCCTAATGTTGTTTTTATCATTGTGATCTTAAAAGCATTTCAAACCAACTTAATGTGTTTTTAATATGTAAAAAGGAGCTGAACCAGTTCATGCTGACACTGGGGAGAAGTTGCAAGTAATATGGGAGAAAATGAGCAAATCCAAGCACAATGGAGTGGATCCTGAGGAAATGGTGGAGAAGTATGGCATTGACACCACTCGCCTATATCTTTTATTTGCTGGCCCTCCAGAGCAAGATATCTTATGGGATGTAAAGAGTAAGTACCTGCTTTAAACATGTTGGAGCTGTCTGTAAGGCAACCCTACTCAAAAATGTGGGGTCTGCTGCTGCTTCCTTCTGAGCATACTATTTGCCTGGCTGTATGGTTTTAATACTGCCTGGGTTATTCACACTGCAGTGTCATCACAGATTGTTTTCTTACTCAATGGCGGAGACACAACACCAATTGGTGTCAATTATAGCTACATTGTTGTTTTCTGGAGGCACAAATACAACCAAAGCTATAACAGGACTTAATGATGAATGCAATGAAGAAAACAAAATGCTACATTGCGGAGGGAAGGCGATAATAACAGATATTAAAACTGAGGCGATTTCGTATTTAACATTATATTTTGCTTTTTACCGTTAAAAAAAATAAGATGAATTTAATTTCCTGTTCAGCACAAAAATATCAGTGATTGTTAACAGTATTCACTAAACTTTGTAATGAATGTATAAACTAATTACAGCATTCTGCTCCAGTCCTTAATTGCTCGTGTCTTTATAATGTGCTGACCAGAGTTTTGTATTTGTGACCTGATAGTGAAGTCTTTAATGTAAATGGGAAAGGGAAATGATAACATATTGTGGCAGACCTGCTCAGATTTTATGATGAAATACTGTGTGGGGCTTTATAACTACCAGACATCTGTTCCGAGCCTGAAATATTCATGACCTGATCTCAAAGTTTATGGTTATGAAAACGCACAATCTCCCTACATTCCACAAGTCAAAAGCATCCGTCTGATGAATCTCTGATTAGCAGTGGTTGTTTTTAGCTGTTCCGAACTCTCAAGGGAGAGCTTTCATTCTTGGTGATTTTGACAGATGTTGCCTGTTCCCACAGTACATGATATTTAGACCTGAAGAAAGTCTATCCTTTTAAGATCACATTTGTCAATAAAGCTGTAGGGAGCCACATGGCTGCCACATTCTACGCAGCTGTCATTAAAGATGACCTTCACTTAAAAGTGAGATACCACTCAACCTCCTCTCCCCCTCCCAGCAAATTCATTTTTGTTATCTTATTCTGACAAGTGTCCGCTATCACTTCCGCAATCTTTGCCTTGGTGAGAATTATGTCAGCTTGGCCCACCTGCAACCTCCTGAGACATGTCATATATTCTAGGAGGCTGCAAAACCAGTTCCACAGAGCTGCTCGGCATGTGCAGCGGAGAACTGGCTGTTAGACTTCAGGAAGTCACAGCTGGCTCCCATATTCAAAATGGCAGCACTCCAGAGCTGCAGCCTAGCAAAGGATTGGCTCCTAGCAAGGCTCCTTGGGCTGGTAAGTGTCTATTTCCTAAAAGTCAGCAGCTTCAGTATTTGTAGCTGGTGACTTATATATATATATATATATATATATATATATATATATAAAAAAATAAAGTTCCTCTTTAACCACTTTCTGTTTGGCCGTTGTACATAAACAGCCAGATAGCTCATTCTTGAGAGCAGGAGGGCAATTTTAAGCATCCTCCTACTCGTGCATGCCCTCTAGCATGCACAGAGGTTCAGTGCTATCGATCACGGTCACACCAGCATAATGTCACAAGACCAGTGTAAGCAAGCAACAATGTTCCTGATCACTGCCAACACCAGTACAATGTCACAAGACCAGTGTAAGTTGGAAACCGTGTTACTAAATGCTGTCACACTAGTCCCAATGTGACCTGTTAAATCCTGCAACAGTGTTCCTGATCATTCCCACACCAGACCAGTGTAAACCAGTAACAGTGTTTGTGATCACTGCCACACCAGCCCCAGTGTCACCAAGCTTGTTAAGCCATCAACAGTGTTCCTAATTGCTATCACACCAGCAGAAAGCAACAGTGTTCCTGATTGCCTCCACACCAGTGCCAGTGACCCAAACTATTGCAGCCAGCAAGAATGCTTCTTATCATTGCCACACTAGTCCCAAGGTCATCTGACCAGTTCAGCCAGTAACAGTGTTCCTGATTGCTGCCACACCAGTCACAGTGTCACCAGACCAGTATACAGCACCAACACTCTTTCTGATCTCCACCACACCAGTGCCAGTTTCACCGCAGCCAGCAACAATGTCCCTTATTGCTAGCCACACCAGTCCCAGTGTCATCAGACCAGTGTGACCCAACAACAGTGTTCCTGCTCACTGCCACACCGGTGCAGCCATCAACAGTGTTCGTGTTCACCTCCACATCATCCTCAGTGTCACCAGACCACTGCAGCCAGCAACAATGTTCCTAAATTTTAGCCACGCCAGTTTTACCAAAGCCAATGCAGCTATCAACAGTGTCCCTGATCGCCACCACACCAGTGCCTGTAACCCAAACTATTGCAGCTAGCAAGAGTGCTCCTGATTGCTGCTACACCAGTCCCAATGTTACCAGACAAGTGTAAGGCAGCAACAGTGTTCCTGATCACCACCACACCAGTTTCAGTTTCACCAGACTAGTGTAAGCCAGCAATAGTGTTTTTGATTGCTACCACACCCAGTCCCAGTGTCATCATACCAGTGTAAGCCAGCAACAATGTTCCCGATCACCACCACACCTTTCTTAGTATCACCAGACAAGTGCAACCAGTAGCAATGTTTCCGGAACACTAGCCACACCAGTGTTAGTATCACCAAAGCCAGTGCAGTTATCAACATTGTCTCTGTTCATCACCACATCAGTACGATGTTACCAGAACCAGTGCAATCAGCAAGAGTGTTCCTGATCTCTGGCACACCAGTCCAGTGTTTCTTCTGCCTCCTGCCTATACTGTCCCTGGTCTGTTTATTGACCAGGTTTCTGCCTTCTGCCTGGATCAATTCTTTGCCTGTTTGCTGACCATGTCTTTGCCTGCCGCCTGAACTGACCCATCTGCACATCCCACTGGTTATGTTCTTGTGAGACACCAGCCTTAGCCATCCTTTCTGGACAACTGCACTCCTAGAACCACAGGAACGTTTTTATTCAGCCTCCTGTACTTCTTGGCCAGTGAACATGGTATTCCTGAGGGCAGCCACAAATGAGCAGGCTAGGCTTTCTTGGCTTATAGGTACGGGGACTGCTGCAGCTACACTAAGCTGTATTCCCTGACCACTTATACAGGAGAGAGCATAACAGTGCACTGTTTTCTTCTTTCTATACAGAGTTAGCTGATGTTTGGGACACACAAGATAAAATATCTGGTAGATAATTAGTCCAACCCTGAAAAAGTCTCACATGTGGTATCCCCATACTTGGGAGGAGTAGCAGAATGTGTTTTGGGGTGTAATTGTAAGTATGTCTATGCTGTTTGTAAGAAATCATTTGTTAAAATTACAACTTTATGAAAAAAAAAACTTTGGAGGTGTTTGTACTATACTGGCATTTTAAGGCCTCAAGAAATGAGATAGAACATCGAGATTGATATATTTTATATATATATATATATATATATATATATATATATATATATACTACTCATTTGTAGATTGCATGTCTTTTAAAGAAACTAAATAATATACACTTATTTATTTTTCAGGTTTTTTTTGCTAAAGAAATGTAGCAGAATATATTTTGCTGTAAATTTATGAACAAAAATTATTTATGTGCAACATTTTATAGCAGAAACTAAGGGAAACAGTTTTTTATTTTTATTTTAATTTATATACCGTATTTTTCGCACCATAAGACGCACTTTTTCCCCCCCCAAAAAGGGGGGAAAATGTCAGTGCGTCTTATGGAGCGAATATAAAGCGGCCAGTCCGGTATTTTTTGCGGCCACCATGTCAGAATACCGGGCCGGCCGCTCAGCTGTTGTCTCCTGCAGGGCCTTACCTGTTCCTCGCTCCAGCGCTGCACAGTCTTCCCGCGCTGGCTTCTGTGACAGTCGGGTGCCCACTGCGCATGTGCTGCGCTTTGTGAATGATCCGGTGTCTTCTGGGACACATGAAGGGTCCCAGAAGGCGCCGGGCCATTCACAAAGCGAAGCGCTTCTCGCACCTGCGCAGTGGGCACCCGGCTGTCACAGAAGCCGGCCCGGGAAAAAGAGGAAAGGCAACTCCGCGGAAGTGGGAGCGGGTACCTGTCAAATTCAGGTAACTGCTCCCCCTCCCTTCCCAAAGGTCAGCAGTCTCTGGTCATCTCCTGCACTGTCCGCAGTCTCTGGTCATTCCCTGCACTGTCCGCAGTCTCTGGTCATCCCCTGCACTGTCTGCAGTCTCTGGTCATTCCCTGCACTGTCCGCAGTCTCTGGTCATTCCCTGCACTGTCCGCAGTCTCTGGTCATTCCCTGTACTGTGTCCGCAGTCTCTGGTCATCTCCTGCACTGTGTCCGCAGTCTCTGGTCATCCCCTGTACTGTGTCCGCAGTCTCTGGTCATCTCCTGCACTGTGTCCGCAGTCTCTGGTCATCTCCTGCACTGTGTCCGCAGTCTCTGGTCATTCCCTGTACTGTGTCCGCAGTCTCTGGTCATCTGCACTATGTCCGCAGTCTCTGGTCATCTCCTGTACTATGTCCGCAGTCTCTGGTCATCTCCTGCACTGTGTCCGCAGTCTCTGGTCATCTCCTGCACTGTTTCTGCAGTCTCTGGTCATCTCCTGTACTGTGTCCGCAGTCTCTGGTCATCTCCTGTACTGTGTCCGCAGTCTCTGGTCATCTCCTGTACTGTTTCTGCAGTCTCTGGTCATCTCCTGTACTGTGTCTGCAGTCTCTGGTCATCTCCTGTACTGTGTCCGTAGTCTCTGGTCATCTCCTGCACTGTTTCTGCAGTCTCTGGTCATCTCCTGTACTGTGTCCGCAGTCTCTGGTCATCTCCTGTACTGTGTCCGCAGTCTCTGGTCATCTCCTGTACTGTTTCTGCAGTCTCTGGTCATCTCCTGTACTATGTGTGCAGTCTCTGGTCATCTCCTGTACTGTGTCCGCAGTCTCTGGTCATCTCCTGCACTGTTTCTGCAGTCTCTGGTCATCTCCTGTACTGTGTCCGCAGTCTCTGGTCATCTCCTGTACTGTGTCCGCAGTCTCTGGTCATCTCCTGTACTGTTTCTGCAGTCTCTGGTCATCTCCTGTACTGTGTCCGCAGTCTCTGGTCATCTCCTGTACTGTGTCCGCAGTCTCTGGTCATCTCATGTACTGTGTCCGCAGTCTCTGGTCATCCCCTGTACTGTGTCTGCAGTCCATTGGTTCAGAATATTTTTTTTTCTTGTTTTTCACCACTAAAACCTAGGTGCGTCTTATGGTCAGGTGCGTCTTATGGAGCGAAAAATACGGTAATTAAAAGAACAAAACACAGGGATGATTAAATACCATCAAAATTACGTTCTATGGGTAGAGTTAGACATGTGTCTAAATCTCCTTAGCCTTTGAAGCCCGATCTGCATTTGTATATTGCTCCACTGCCTGTGAATCACAATTGCACCACAACCATGTGTATTACACTTTTTTTGCGGGGCATTTGCAGTGCTTCCTCATTTACTTGAATGTGTAGCGTTTGGAGGACTTGCCCCCCACTGATCACTACATGTCGGGTGAACTATGTCTTGGTCGTGATGCATCACAGCTGCGGCATGTAAACATCCCTGTCAGCTGCCTATTGCAGGTTAAGGGGGGCGGTTAGCGTGCGACAGAAATACTGCACAACCGCTCATTTTTGCCACCCCTCCCTCAGCCGGAAGTCTAAACAAAGCCTATCTGTCTCCAGTAGGTTGTGTAAGTTACTTTTCTGATTAGTTTCTAGTCCCTTTAATTCCCAGGAAGGGGGAAATGGCATACAGTTTAACTATATAGTGGTGTATCAATTAAAGTATAACTTTTAGTTTTAGGTAGAGAGGGATTAGAACACCGGTCTTGTTTATATTTCTGTCTCTACCCCAGTTAGGGAGATAACCCCTATTTGCTCTGTTTACCCTTATCATTAAAAGTGAAAGTAAAAGAAAATCCCAAATTTTGAGTTGTCCCCAGAAAAGTAATAGAAGGAAAATTTCCAATGGGGACACTAGTTCTGGTAACTTGGGGGGGCCCAATGCATTCCCTTACTTTGCAGGGTTTCCTCTCACTTACTGTTCTAGCTATGGAAAGTACCGTAATTCTTCTCAATGGGACATGGATGACAATAAAACCTGACGGTTATAACCCTCTTTTACTCTAGCCAAAATGAAGTGAATTATAATACAGTTTGCATTTGATTCATTTTTTTTTTTTTTTTTTTTGCACAGCCGATGCATTACCTGGAGTACAAAGATGGCAGGCTCGAGTGTGGGCTATAACCAGCAAGTTTATTGAAGCCAGAAAGCCTTCAGTTGTTCCTGATCCCAAGCTTCTTAATAAGAATGACATTGCAGAGGCCCGGAAAATTTGGCAAAAAAAGAACTATATCGTTTCTGAGGTAACCAGTTATCCATGGGCCACAATGGCTTTCACTTTAGTCCATGTCACACCTCTTTAAATTATGTATGTAAATTGAACATATGAATACAGTGCTAACACCAAGAGGTACCTTTATCCTTTCTCAGTTGTGCCCCAAGACATCTAAAACCAATGGTGTACTACCCTTCAAGACTCCTGCTAGTGTCTAGGTACAGATTTCTTCCTTCTATTGGCCAACACTACCAAAAAGTGGTAAATCATACATGCTGTATATGTATTCACTTTTTTTTTCATTATAGGGATAGAGATTATTTTATACATATAGGGAAAGTTGTAATATGCATGTATTATGATAATTGTTTCCACATAGACCCACTTTTTATTTAATTGTAAAAGATGTGGATGTGTGAGGTTTCATGATATTCAAAAAATCAAGGCGGGGCATTTCTGCACTTTAGGTAAACATTGTCAGAATTCAAATACAATCCTGAAAGTCGGTTTGTCATTATATATACAGTTGTGTTCAAAATAATAGCAGTCAGACATCACTAACCTGATCAATCACTGTTTTTGGTAGAAATGATATTTCTACATGGCAAATAATTTACTAGCAGGTGTAGTAGAGTAATAGAAATCCAACAGACCCAACAGTCATGACATGCATGCTGCTGATTCTGTGTAATTGAATCACTAATTGAAAGGGGCATGTTCAAAATAATAGCAGCGTGGAGTTCTATTAGTGAGGTCATTCATTCTTTGAAAAACAGGTGGCAATTATTGCCCTTATTTAAGGAAGGAAGGCAGCAAATGTTGTACATGCTGGTTACAGTGCATTTCTCTCTGAAATTCTGAGGAAAATGGGTAGTTCCAGACATTGTTCAGAAGAACAGCGTACCTTGATTAAAAAGTTGATTGGAGAGGGGAAAACATATAAAGAAGTGATGTACAGCAGTTCTCAGAAACAGTGCTTATACAACTAAATATTATTTAAGTGATTTAAAGGAAAGAAAGCAAAATCTTCAAACACTTTTCAGTTTATATAGTGAATGTTTGAGTTTGTAAAGAAGAATACAAACACTGCTATTTTTTTTGAACAGTCTAATATTCACCTTTCTTCAATTTTTTTAGAAGAACAACACAAATTTGATATATTTTTCTTCATGTTTTGATTTGGAATAGAATGTGTAGTGTTCCCAAAGCATTTGTGTGTATGGAAATAAAAGCTATTAGAAGGATTTTAAGCTTTATTCACTTTTTTCAACACACTGCTATTATTTTGAACACAACTGTATATATTCATTCATTGTAAACATACAAAGGACCTATATTGTGCTAGTTGTGCCAAAAAAGGCAAGCTGTGGTCAAAGGAATAGTCACCAGTAATGCCTGTAGTCTCCCTGAAGCTGATATTTTGGACCAAGAAGCAGGGTTGTCATCCATCAGTAAATTTACAGACAGTTTGTAAAAATAAGTGATTTTTACACCTGTCTATAAATATCAGGGGCTGATAATTTGTCATGCAGTGTGGACTTTTGTAAGTGTAAACCAGTCAAATTACTTGTTATAGGTATTGTCAGTTTTTCCATATTGTGTTTATACTGTTATTGATTGCAAACGTCCCATCAACATCTTGGAACTAAAGCCATCAGATTGTCTCTACAACACTGGACTTTCCTTCTGCAAGGTCACCCAGTCAGGGTACAATCAGATAATGCCAAGCAGTGGCCTATATAAGCCATCAGATAAGCACCAGGTTTCCATAAAAGAAACAAGGATACTCTCCTGGACAGAAACTCAAATTCTAGTTCTCTCAGCCATTTGCATGCCTAGAGTATATAATTGGCAGGTAAACTTCCTAAGCCGATTCTGCCTAGACCCAGAGGAGTGATCTCTGTACCAGAGATCTCTCAAAATCTGTCAAAGGTAACCAGATATGGACATCCTGGCCTCTAGGTTAAACTACAAGCTAAACAAATTTGTACTCAAGGGAAGGAACCCTCTAGCATTTGCAGTGGATGCACTAGTGATTCCTTGGGCTCAATTCAAGCAGGTGTATAGTTTCCCTCCAAATACTATCTTCCCTCAACTGCTGCACAGGATAGAGGAGGAAGGGGTTCATGTCATTCTCACCACACCAAATTGGCCAAGAAGAACATGGTACACAGACATGCTTGGACTTCTGGTGGATGAGCCTTGGCCTCTTACAAACAGACCAGATGTACTGGTCCAGGGCCGCTATTCCATCTTGTTTCTCAGTTGCTGGCTTTAACGGCATGACTGTTGAAACCCAAGTTCTAAAGGACAGGATTATTTCTGATTTGTGCTACTCAAGGGTAAGAAAATCCAACCTCTTTTTATTGGCTTTTCCTCAGTCAGGTCTTGACCAATGCCTGGCCATGTGGGCCCTCAAGGGACACATTTCTGCTTTATCCATTTTATTCTAGAAACCTTTTGTCTTGCAATTCCTCATCAAAGCACTTCTGGGATTTATACAGTGTATAGTTTATATATTTATTGGGATATATACAGTGCCTTGAAAAAGTATTCATACGCCTTGAAATGTTCCATATTTTGTAATGTTACAACCAAAATTGTAAATGAATTTTATTGGGATTTTATTGTATGTGATAGACCAACACAAAGTGGCACATAATTGTGAAGTGGAAGCAAAATGATAAATGGTTTTCAACATTTTTTTACAAATAAATATCTGAAAAGTGTGGTGTGCATTTGCATTTGTATTCAGCCCCCTTTACTCTGATACCCCTAACTAAAATCTAGTAGAACCAATTGCCTTCAGAAGTCACCTAATTATTAAGTAGACTCCACCTGTGTGTAATGTAATCTCAGTATAAGTACAGCTATTCTGTGAAGCCATCAGAGGTTTGTTAGAGAACATTAGTGAACAAACAGCATCCTGAAGGCCAAGGAACACACCAGACAGCTCACGGATAAAGTTGTGGAGAAGTTTAAAGCAGGGTTAGGTTATATCAATCTATCATCCCAAAATGGAAAGAGTATGGCATAACTGCAAACTTACCAAGACATGGCGGTCCACCTAAACTGACAGGCCGGGCAAGGAGAGCATTAATTAGAGAAGCAGCCAAGAGGCCCATGGTAACTCTGGAGGAGCTGCAGAGATGCACAGCTCAGGTGAGAGAATCTTTCCACAGGACAACTATTAATCGTACACTCCACAAATCTGGCCTTTATGGAAGAGTGGCAAGAAGAAAGCCATGGTTGAAAGCCATAAGAAGTCCCATTTGCAGTTTGTGAGAAGCCATGTGGGGAACACAGCAAACATGTGGAAGAAGGTGCTATGGTCGGAAGAAACCAAAATTGAACTTTTTTGACTAAAAGCAAAACGTTATGTGTGGCGGAAAACTAACACTGTACATCACCCTGAACACACCTTCCCCACCGTGAAACATGGTGGTGGCAGCATCATGTTGTGGGGATGCTTTTCTTCAGCAGGGACAGGGAAGCTGGTCAGAGTTGATGGGAAGATAGATAGAGCCAAATACAGGCAATCTTAGAAGAAAACCTGTTAGAGTCTGCAAAAGACTTGAGACTGGGGCGGAGGTTCTCCTTCCAGCAGGACAACGATCCTAAACATACAGCCAGAGCTACAATGGAATGGTTTAGATCAAAGTATATTCATGTGTGTTAGAATGGCCCAGTCAAAGTCCAGACCTAAATCCAATTAAGAATCTGTGGGAAAACTTGAAAATTGCTGTTCACAGACGCTCTCCATCCAATCTGACAGATCTTGAGCTATTTTGCAAAGAAGAATGGGCAAAAATGTCCCTCTCTAGATATGCAAAGCAGGTAGAGACATCCCCAAAAAAGACTTGCAGCTGGAATTGCAGGAAAAGGTGGTTCTACAAAGTATTGACTCAGGGGGGCTGAATACAAATGCACGCCACACTTTTCAGATATTTATTTCTAAAAAATATTGAAAACCATTTATCATTTTCCTTCCACTTCACAATTACGTGTCACTTTGTGTTGGTGTATCACATAAAATACATTTATGTTTTTGGTTGTAACATGACAAAATGTGGAAAATTTCAAGGGGTATGAATACTTTTTAAAGGCACTGTAAATCCCCCAATTCAGCCTCCTGTGTTGCTTTGGGATCTCACTTGGGGCTCACTGTACTTCAGAGAATTCCCTCTAAATGAATTAGAGATAATATGCTGGGAGACCTCACTTGTAAGTAGAGATGTTACATTTCTGGAAATTTTTAAGCTATGAGATTTTTTCCAGAAAAAATGGAAATTTTTGGAAAAATTGAAAAAAAATATCAGTGTTGGAGTAGTTTTACAAGTTGAAAAGAAGCGTGTTCAAGGAGTTTAAAAGCTTCCTGCCAATATGCATTTTTAGTTATTGACAATGCTGATCTAGAAACTTCTATTGCTCTTGCAAAAGTCTGATCAGCTTTCTCCTGATTTTCAGGTGTTATTTTATCTATAAATTAAGTTATTGTGTATTTTTGTGAGGCAGTAGTTTGTAAAACTTCCCTTACCTGAATAATTTGTAAAGCACTGCGCAAATTGTTGGTGCTATATAAATCCTGTATTATAATAATAATACTTGAAGGAGCTGCTGGTGAAGAAACACTTTGTGAGGGTCCAGAAGCAGCAGAAAGAGAAATTTTCTGGAATGAGAACTCTGGAGGAAAAAGCACTCTTATTATGGTCCTTATTATTTATTTTCATAAAGTATTTTAATGTCTTTAGGGCACCTCTTGGTATGCAATGGTATGTTTTGCCATCCTTGTAGAATTTGGAAAAATAATATTTCTTCTCATGATATTTGCAAATTGCAGCTTTGTTCTCAGCAGAAATTGCACTGTGGAAATGTTTCCAAACTCTAGATGTTGGTCTCACCATTTTACTGAAAGGAGGAAAAGAAAAAACAATTTGCTGACCAGCCTATAGGTTAACGTTATGCTGTGGAAAACATTAATACTAATTATTTAAAATTTAATAAGGTAAACAAATTTGTTAGACAGAAATTTTTCATCTACTGTATCCCAACAATCACCCAACTGTAAGAGGTACACAATGGAGCCCA